CGGCCTGGCCTGCTGCTACCTCTTGGCCTCTCCCTATTTACTCCCCTCCCTCCTCACGCCACACACCCCCCCGCAGCTTGGCCTGCCAGCCTCCGGTGGAAGCCCTGCCAGAGGAGGTTGAGTCACAGTGAGTCATGACTTCATGCTATCAGAAACCACAAATACAAACATATTCATTAAGCATGCCATGAAAACAGAGGAAGGCTACAGGAGGTAAAAACCGGACGGATGTACCAGAATGCCTAAATGTAATTTATACTTTATGGCATTTTCAGGATATGTCTGATATGACCCGTGGATATGTAAAATATATTTTACTTAAAATGTTCGTGAAATAAAACAGGGTTTTTGTGCAGTCTCGAACAGTATGGAGAAGTATTTTAGACATTTAAAATGTAAAAGAAAAATACTAATATCAAAACAAATATTTTAAAAGCAAACATGTTTAAATTGTATAATTGGCTTTCTTAGACATTTCCAAGTCTGGTTAATGAAATGGCTAATTTCATCAACCAGAGCATTCTTTGTGATTTGATATTTTCTAAGACGCATACAAAATTCTATTTAACAGAGTTGCATAAATTAGACACATTGTGGCCAAATTGAAGACTTCACTTGATGATGTGCTTAAGTGACTTGTTCATTAGCCCAGATATCAAAGGTGATTTTGTTGTATGATTCTTTCCAAAAACATTTAAAGTGATTTATTGATGTACTAGAATTTATAAACGTCCCATCATAAATATATCTTGTAACAGCAACAACTAGTATTTTATTTCCACAAGACAGAATTTTCCTGTTGTTTTCATAACACTCTCAAAGCTAAATGAATGGTGATCAAATATCATTTATATCAAAGAGGGGAAAAAAACATTACTGGAAGAAAACCATATTAAGTCATGCACAAACAATGCAGGAAGTAAAACAGAGATGTGAAATCAGATAAAACCAAATAGAGCATTTTGCATGATATGCAAAACTGTCTGGCTAATAGCAGACGCTGCACATTGCTCTGACCACACTGTCCAAACAGTGAAACGTGGTAGAGGAAGTATCATGCTTTAGGGAAGATTTTCTTCAGCAGGAACAGGGAAGGTGGTCAGAGTTGAACAGAAGGTGGATGGAACTAAAAACAGAGGAATCTTGGAACAAAAAGGACAGTGACTGTAAACATGCAGCCTCCAGTGGGATGGTTTAGATCAAAATGAGTCCTGGAATGTGTTAAAATGGCCCAGTCAAAATCCAGACCTGACTTAAACTGAGCTTAAGCATTTTGGAAGGTGATACATGGTACAGTCAGTATTCTGATTCACATTTTAGGCTTCAAAATTCTAATAAAATGCAAAGTTTATATTCATATTCATTTGTGTGTGTTAAATAACAAAATGATTTTTCAGATTTATTTATTTATTTTCTGAAATTCAAATGGTTAGACTTTACTTTTAGCTTTTCTTTAAAATTGGGACTAGAGAGAAAAATGAAATAGAGAACGGGCTCACAGCACTTCCTCCAGACCTTATTTGGAGTTTTGACACAGGCATTCAAACACGTAACAAACCAAAAGTGAAAAGAAAAGCATTGATCATTTTGTTTGGAATGCAGAAGATCAGTTACATTTGGAGGAAGAGAAATGTTCATTGCTGTGACACTGCCGCCGTTCTTCCTGTTTTGCAGGTCTGTGTTGATAATGTCCTGAAGACGATGAAGGAGAACGCAAACAAAGCCAGCAGCATATTGTTGACTGCAATACCGCAGATCAGCCAGATGGACTGGACTCAAACCACCAAAAACGTAAAAGTAAGATTCCAACAAAATGTCATTAACATCTGGCGACAGCGTCTGCTTTTGATTTCTGGGGTCATTCTTAAAATTGTCCCCACTGCCGTTTGTTGTTTATTTTCACTGACCAAACCACCAAAGATATCAGTGCACAATCCCCATAAATATCTGTCTGTAAGACTCCCCTTTGTTTCACCTTAAAATAAAGACTTTATGATGTTATATGTTAGTTACATTTTATAGAAGTAATTACAAGTACAGCAACAAAAAATGCATCTTAAAAACCAGAGGCTATGCATGTTTTTTTTTTTTTTTTACAATAGAAACATTCCTTCCATGCATTTTGAGCAAGTTTTCTGAAATTCCAAGAGTAATTCAAAACATGGGTAGAATAAGTGTTTAAATGGCAACAAGTATTTTTGTCTTTTTACTTTTAACAGATTCAGTTGCATTTAAAATAACAGGATGTTTATAGTAGGAATTTTAAAATTCCACAAATAGCTTTTATTTCCATAAATGTAAATGCACCGAGAAAATCGTATCCTGTATTCAAAACATCAAGGAACAAAGTCATGAAACATGTTACCACTCTACAGAACGTGAGGAAGTCATTCCGCTATTAAACTGAAACGGCTTCAGTGTGTAGTTTGTGAGTCACCAAAGAACTTCAAATTTAGGTCAAAAGTAATTTTCGAATGTCACAAATATGTTTTTTCTTCTTGCTAAAAGTAATATGAATGTTTTCAGCTTCCCGATTAGAACCTGTTAATCTGTGGGAGCAAAAAATGAGGCTGATACGTGGACCCATGATGCTGCTCGCTTTCTGGTGTGTTTGGGTTCTCTGTCCTGCTGGAGCAATCAATCCTGGGACATTCCCTCTTCTGCATGAATCAACATCAAGTTAAACTGACCCACATTTCATCGTGTGCGACCCAGCGCCCGACGCTTTAATTAGAAACATTCTTTATTGTGGCTTCAAAAGACATAGCTGTCTTCTAATTGTTACAGTACTCACAAGTAACTAGAGCTATGGTCGCCGCAGAGCTCATTCTCAGAAGAATGTTTGCCATTCCAGTTATGCTTTGATTGATTCCGATGGTATTTTTGCATTTTCTTCCCATTTTTCTTGTTACCATTTTGAGGCAATTGACCTCATTTTAGTTGGCCTATAATTTTCACTACCTGTATATACTTTTACTTTTCCATTCAACTTTTTAATCAGTGCCTGGAACAGATTTTCAGGGGACTGTGTGATAACCAGCACATACAATATATCCTTAAATAGGGGCCACCTGTTTGAAACTTATCTACTGGCTGATTGAACTCCATGTTGCAGGTTTTTTAATCTTGTGTTAGCGAACGATTCAGTCACACAGAATCAGCAGCATGCGTGTCATGATTGTCAGATATGTTGTATTTCTATTTTATTGTCTGCTATTTGTCAGATAAAATGATCATTTCGAACAGTTCTCGTGAGACGTTAGAAATCCATTATGGTGAACGTGATAGTATTTTCCTCATTCATCGCATTTCGACGTATGAAAAAACTCAGATGCTCCCAAGCAATCGCTCAACGTCTTCCACATCGCCAAATCTAGAATAACGTGTGAAATGAAAGGATAACCACTTTCTTCTTTTTCTCACAGTCTATGGCGCAGTCTTCAGTAATGCTACCGAAGCATTGAGTGGGCGTAGAAGACAAGAAGTAGAAAAGAGGAAAAAAAAAAAAAAAAAACAGACACCACGTGCACGTATCCCAGCACAGACGGCGGACCCTGACTGTCTGTGGATTCATTATCGGTGAATCACAAGAAAAGTGCCTCACAGGAATAATGCACCTCTGTTTGTTTAGCTGGAGTCTCATTAGGTCAGCTCCTCAATTTCAATGTGCAATTCAAAGTACTTCTTCAAAACTGAGTCACAGCTCACTTCTTTTCACCTTTTAGTAACTGCATTTGAAAAGTCTTGAAATTATACTTGATATGTTGCAGACTTATATTTTTAGTATTTTATAAATCTTTACACTTTCTATATGTCCCGACTTTCAACTGTCCGTCTTAGTTCCAGTTCCTATAGATCAAAGGATGAGCTGCAAGTCCAGCATATACGTATCAAAGTCCTTACCGCAATATTCTAAATGCCCACATAATTCTTAGTATTTGGAATGATTTTCTGGTTCTAGAAATTACATTTTCTGATCTTTACTGTTATCCTCAGCTCTTACTTTGTGTATAATTGGCAGTAGGGGTTGTACCCATATTTGTAACCATGATATAAATGATAAATGATATACAAGTTCATTTATTGAACTTGTATATTTATTCCAATTATTTCAGTAGATGTAAGCCGCACAATTTATTTTCTATCTTTGCGATCTTTGGCCCTGAATTTTCATTGTACTACATGCTGCACAGTATGTCTGAGTCACTTACATTTTCTTTTTTTTAGGCTGAACTGTAATTCATCATGCATGAGAAAATATCTGAATAAATTATAAATCAAAACTTTGAGGTCTTTGCTCAGTTTCTTAAGAAAAAAGGAAAATTTGAATCATTTTTAGTAGATTTGATTACTTTGATCCAGTGTATGCTATAAATAAGGATTTTCCACTCATTTCTTTTGACTTATGAGCTAAACTGAAACGATTCAACAGATTAGTGCTGTAAAACTTAGTTGAATGGCACCTATTAACTTAGTCAACTGATTTATTTGTTCTAAAATTGGACTATTTTGGCTTTCGAAATCGAAAAACTGCAAATGTAATTTAGTCACTTTTTGTATTTTTAAAACAGACATTATTTTTTTCTCTAACAGAAAATCTTATGATAGATAAATTTCTTTTTCCTTTGTATTAACAATTTGGACACCCAGGTAGGCATGATCACGAGAACAACTGCACTGACTTCTTTTCCAGGCCGATTCAGATTTTTGACTTTCCCTGAATTCTGACCTGCCGATTCTGATTCTGCCTATTCTGTTTCCGTCATCCATAATGCTTGAAAGGGGAACATGCTGCTAGTTCGGGCAACTGTTTTGACTATGACTGGCAATTCAGAAATTACAAGACCACTTTATAGGTTTGGCTCTTGTCCAGGGCATTATTGCTAAGAGGAAACATTTCAGGTGTTATTCACCTGCACGTACAAAAGTAATTAGGAGGCATAGTGTGTATGTTCCAGATGTTTTAATTGCACTACAGTGTTCAAAACTCCCCAGTGTAATGAATGTCATTAAATCATTTCTTTATTTTATTTGAGTGGAAAGACAATAATTCACCATTATGACAACCTGAAGCCTGCTTACTTTCGCTTTCCGCATTTTGAACTCACATGGGCTATCCCCATAACTTTTTAAAACTAAAGTGCGAATAATTATACAAGGAGATAACATCTCAGTGTATCGGTTTCATAATAGTGCATAAAACAAGTATGTGCAACAAGTTGTGGCTTCTGAATTAGCTTTGAGTGCTTTAAAGAAATTCTTCATTAAAGAAAAGTTTGAGCAAAATATTCAATTTCAGAAGAACAGTAAAAAAAAAAAAAACATTGTATGAACATTTATAAAACTTTTTTTAAAATAAAATTTATAATCTTAAACCGATTTATAAAAGTAGACCAGTAAAAGTCCTTCTTTACCCAAATATATTATAAGCATCTCGTTAAATAATAAACAAATGAATATAAATTAGGGCCCTTTCGGGCCTTGTCCACGGTTCTTAATCAGAACCAATTGAATTAAATAACATTTCATATGAAGACAGACATAGTTATAGAGTCTCCAGGAGAGCAACAACTTCCGTGTGGCAGTTCTCTTTGGCCAAATCAATCGGGAGCCGGTGGTCCTTGTCCCGGGCCTGCGGGTCGGCCCCGAATTCCAGCAGAAGCCGCACCGTGTCCAGGAAGCCCGTTCGGGCCGCGTCGTGCAGCGGGGTGGCCCCGGTGCTTCTGTCCGCAACGTTCGGATCCGCTCCGTGATTCAGTAAGAGCCGAACCGCCGCCGAGCTGCCCATCATCACCACCTTCAGGAAAACGGAACGTTTTGGAATGAATGCGTTGATGTGATACTAAAGGCCTGCAACACTGAATGAAACGCGCAAACACAAAAACCCGGTTCCTCGCCAGTTATTTACTGCTCAGTAGACACATGCGGGGGAATAGAATGATCTGTGCGTTTATTCATCGAACGAACTAAATCCCCATTTGATCAGTTTTCATTTATTTCTCGCTATTACACAGACAAAAAGAGAGAGACCTGCTGTTGGTCTACCGACCGACCAGTGACCTGTGATAACGCTGCAGACGCGTCTCTGTGCCAAACCGGTTTAATGTTAAAGTAACCCAAAAAACTTGAACAGTTCATCGCAAACGAAAACCATGTTCTCAATAATTACACACCGCAAAATTTAATTTGCGACATGTCTGCTAAACAAAAAAACAACAACAAAAAAAAACTTTAAATGACAGAAATTAAATACTCACACGAAATTAATTATTGTTCTTAATTTAATTAATTATTTATTGGCACTCTTTAATTTGCATTAAAAACAGTTTCCACATAAGTGCAGTTGGAAGTGAGTTATCCCGCATCGACCGTGTTTTCTCGGTTGCATGCTGTTTGTTTTAAACGTCTGGTTTGGTATTAGAACAAGTGTTTTCCCACAGTGAGTTGCACGCGGGGCCCCGTGGCCCTTCACAATAAATCGGACGGTCAACATCATAGCAGAAAACTCAGTGAGTTAGCCCTTTAAAGTGTTTGAAACTGGGACGAAGTATCGTCCCAGTCTGCTCTAGAAACAAGATGAATATAGATATTCATCTAATTATTGAAATTATTGGCAGTCGGCATACATACTATAAAAAGCATAAGATGTATATTCCATTCATCGATTGGTTGGTTGATTGACGGCTGGTAAATAGCCTACTCGACCGTTTTTTTATTTTTTTTTTTTTTTTACAGTCCAACCACATTCTTAAGAGTGAAACATATATGTGTGTATAGCCTATATATATATATGGATCTGTTTTTGTTTTGGTCTTTCACTGACCTGTATTGCTCTTCGTCCAAACTGATTCAGCCCGTTAACCGGGGCCCCTCGCCGCAGCAGAGCCTCCACCGCTGCCGTGTCTCCCTCCGCCGCGGCTGTCGTCAGTTCATCCTCCAAGGTCATTTTCAGCGACGATATCCGCCACTGTCCTCCCCTGACGGCGATGCCTATTTGAGGAACAGCCCGCACTCAAAAACTCGCCCGAGCTCCTTCTACTGGCGCCGATATGCTTTAAAAATTCAAAATATGAGTGCTCTAGGATTCAATCCGAGATCGTCTCTGTCTTCGCTTTTGCGTGTTCTTCACTCCGCCCCAACAACATCTGGGTTCGGTCAAAACAAACTGCGCTCGTCCACCGGCTGTCGGACGGTGTGTGTCCGGGCTTGTCTTGTATTTAATGAATGGGGAGCGTCGTCATCTGCGTGGCGTCATCGTCTGCTGATGGGCTGTCGCGGTGGTGCGCATGCGCGTGAATATGAAACTCATTCCTGCTCAGTGACACTACAGCGTTGGATTTTGAACCCGTTGTAGTTGTCGCCAGAAGAATAAAACAAAGTCACAAAAATCGAAATAGAGTTGGATAAGAATAATAATAATTAAAAAAAAACTTAATAATGAAGAATAAAATCCTTCAAATGTGCATTATTGCATAAACACCAGACTGAAACAAAAGTACGGTAAAAACTCATAAAAAAGATCATTAAAATTAAGAAAGGAAAAAGTAATTAACCCAACTCGTTAGCTTGAAACTCAAGCTAACGAGGCAAGGCAAGAGATAGTAGAAATGAAAGCAAGTTGCGGTGCAGAAGAATGCGCAGTAAGCACTGACATTTATCCAGCTGTTCTCCTAAAATGAAAACTAAGTTGGTGGAGGGATATTAAGTGTGAAGACATCAACCTTCAAAGCTTCACAAGCTTTAGAATCACAATGGTAATCATACATTACCAGGGTACATTCCAAGTCCACATATTGGTGGCGTTATAAGCATAATATTTTTTGCAGAAAATCTTTACCAAAGTTGAAAAAAAAAATCGTAAATGGGTTTATTGTTTTTTTGTAAGATTTTATGCAGACTAAAGCATCCACATAGTTGTTCTGGTTTAATGTTATTGCATTAACATGCAGTAGATTGTTATGATATCACTGACCACAATGTGGTGACATGTATGAGAAAAGTTAGAATGCACTTTTTTTTAGAATTCCACAGTTCATTTATTAGAATTTACAAATGAAATATTATTTTCTTGTGATAAACGTAAAATAAGAAATTATATACAAGTGTAATTTCTATATATTTACATATAAGTTTTTGTGTAGAAGTGTTATACTGCAAAAACGTTACCTTATCAGAAAGATTTGCTGAGTTGTTACTGATTAGATTTGTTACAGTCATTTTCATTTCTTCCTACTTTTCTCTTGGACTTAGAGTTGGGAGAAGTATTTGCTCCCCTTGCAGATTTACTCTTCAGTTGTTTTTAATGCCCTACTTAAGTCCTGCAGACCATCAAGCTATATTTTTTTTTATCAAACAAAAATAACATAAGTAAATTCAAGATTTAATTTTTAAACTGCTTTTGCTGGTAGCACCATCCTCAGTGGCAACAATGGCCCTCAAGAGTTTGAAATAATCAGCAAAAACATTTTTACATCTCTTTGGAGGAACTTTAGGCCCCTTTTCTTTGCAGAGTTGTTTTGTTTTGTTTGTGCCACACTACAATATTTTTGAGCCAATTTAACTTCTGTATCAGGTTTACGCCCTGGATTTGACTGAGTCACTGCAAAGCTTTCTTACTGACTTGTTTGCTTGCTTTGGATCGTTGTCCTGTTTGTGTGTAACCCATCTGGGATTGAATTTAAGGTCACAAAGTAATAGCCAGACATTCTTCTTCAGCTACTGAGCAGTATTTACGGTTTCCAGCAGCTATGCCAAAAGGTCCCACATTACAGAAGAGGCTCCACACCATCACACTAGTATCTTTATGTTTGACTGCATGTATGGTGAATAAAAGTCTCTGGTGTCATTAAGATGTTTTTGGCCAATGTGGGAAAGGGATTTGAGTTAATTATGGCATTTACTTTGACCTTTTGGAGGTTTTGCTGAGTCTGTTTTTGTATTAGTGAATCATAAACACTGATCATAACTGAGACAATTCAGGCCTGCACTGCTTAGCTGTTCATTTAGGTTCTTTTATGACCTCGTGGGTCAGTCATTGGACGGTTAGAGTAACAAGTGCATCCATGTGTGGTTACACTGTTTCTTTATTTGTGAGTAATGTCTCTCACTGTAATTCATCCCTTTGTATGACTTGTAACCATTTCCTGCATAATAGATGTCAGGGATTTTTTTTTTTTTTTTTGTTACACTGGTTCTATTATAATGATTTCCACATGTCACATAATTGTCAGTATTGACATTTGTGTACTTTTTGTACTTTCATGCAGCTTTCTCAGGGTTGTCTCCTGAATGTGGTGACAGAAACAGATCAGATTAGATTCCTTGAAAAAGATCTGCTTTGTTATTGTGCATCTCTTTTGGAAGACATAATCTGAACGTGAATCCTGACTGCAGACATGCACAAAATATCTGATGTGGTTAAGAGATAGAAAAGCATGCTGGAACACAGTGGATTCTTCAACAAAGTAGCTCAATATTCCTGATTTCTTTTTTTTTTTCATTCTCTTTTTAAATAAAGAGAATGAGATTTTAAAAGTATTTAAATAACATAAAGTTTGAGACTAGGTTTTATAGTTAATTACGGTGGATAGTGGTTAAATCCCTTTTTCTAATGTTTTCATAAATTATAACCTACAAACCTAAAAAGCCATTTAAAGAGGTGACACCAGACAGATCCTCCCTGAATCAATAGTGACTCAGACACACAGCTGTATGCACATAAAGAAACACACTGCAGCCCTCTGTTTTGGGTTGATTACTGTCTGAGCAACATGCAGAGACTTGCTTTACATATGTTGGTAACAGGAGTTGTGGAAATTTTCTCTTTTTCTTTCCAAAGCTGAAGGGCTTGCTAACTCATATCTGAGCCAGATGAAAACACTAACAAAGCAGCGAAGTCTGGGACCAAATGAACAGTAGGCCTACTCTAGGATAGAAAACGTTTTTCTTTTCCTATCCTATAGTGTGTACACACAAACTGGGTTGACCGGTATGATGAGTCATTGGGCCAGTTTGGCTTGTTTAACATACAAAGATAGACTGTTGGTAATTATAGTGCAAATAAATGTCCTGTTTGCTTATACCCATTTGGAAAAGACTACTTTGACTCGAAACATTAAGTAAAACAAACAATAAAAAGAATACAATTCTTTCAGTTCTTGCAGTTTTCATATTTTTTGAAAAACAATAAACAAAAAACTAACCATGAAATGTGAAAGTTTTTGTCTAAAAAAGTCATAATGTAATAAATCTAATAATTATAAAACATGGTTGATGTTTCAGTTTTTCAGTACTTTCATCATGTCCTTTAATCAAAGTGCCATCAAGTGCACTAATCCATCCTGCAAGAAAAAAATGGCAGATTATGAAGTCACCACTTCCACACTTCAATTCGGGTGCGGTGGTAGATCAGTGTCCCATATACAGAGACTTTAGTCCTCAACGTGGATCTCATAGATTTGACCATTGGCCTTCTGACCAATACTCAAATTTAACCAAGGATTAAATCCAACGAACCGGGTCAGAACCGGTTCAAACTCATTAAAAAGGAAACTCTGGCATTGCTGTCGCCACTGTAATAATAATAATAATAATAATAATAATAATAATAATAATAATAATAATAATAATAATGCTTGAACTGGGTTCCTGTCTAAGAAAGAAATTCAAATAATGTACTTGCCGGTTGGAGACATCCTCAAAGGAAGCGGATCCAAGTGGAAAACCATTTGGACCAATCTGCATCAATATAATCTGCATCTCTGATGCAGATTATATTGATGCAGATGCAGATTATATTGATATTGATGCAGATTATATCGCCTTCCCCCTCTGTCACAACCCACTTTCCTGTCTGACCACCGACAAATAAGGTCCCTGGAGCCAGAGAAAACCTAAAAAAAAAAAAAAAAAAAACTTAAATACTGTATTTGATCTGAAGTAAAAATTCAAAAAGCTAGGTCTGGGTCTCAGAATGCTTTGTGAAAAATAATTTGAAATTTTGCAATATTTAGGAAGTGAGATGCATTTGTGAGTTGGATTGTCTTCCATATTGTCTTATAGTTCCATTTTTTTAATTTAATTCTCAGAATTTCTTGTTAAATGTTGTTAAAGACATATGATGACAGCATTTCTGATTACTCAGCTCATGTGTGAGTAGCTGAGTTGTTCCTCATTTTTCTGTCAGACAAAAAATAGAAGTTCTTGCAATTTGTCCTGCTGTTATGCAAACATATCTCATGTCATTGAACTTAATTGTTCAATGACATGAGATATATAATTATTTATTAAAAATGTTTTTTCTTTGACACCATTTTCAAAATGTGAAACTTTGCAGATTAAACAAAAGGCATAATTAAAGTTTTTAAAACATCTGAGTTTTTAAAGAATGTTTTTTGTGGCTTTGTTAAGTATCTACTAGTATTTAGAGAGTAATCCTGCCACTATTAGAGTAAAATTATTACAAGGGCTTTCATTACCCAGGTATCTAAAATGAAGCATGTATTTATGGGTAAAATGAAAGAACTCAAGAGCTTTGAATTTTTGTTGAGTGTTCAAGTGATGGGACAAGAATTGGGAAGTGGAAATTACACCAAAGCCACAATCTTGTGATTCTCACAAGATTTCTGACATTGGAGTAAAAAATAATCAGTATTCTTGTCTGAGGACCAAGGATCTCTCAGAGACAGTTTCAGAAAGACCTTGAATTAGCCGATTTTGCAAACAGCACAGTCACTACACAAGTCTCCACTGCAGAAGGAAAAGCCAGAGGCTTGCTTGAAGATAGTGGATAAGAATCTGGACAAGCCAATGAAACACTAATGGAAAAGTAGTCTGGTTAGATGAGAGCAAAATGAAACTCTTAGACAGCCAATGGACAAACCATGTTGGCAAATGTCCCCATACAACAGTGACATTTTGTATTAGGAGAACCGGAATGTGGGTTTTCTTTATATGGAAGCAGCAAAATACAGATAAGTGAAGGAAGGATACATTGAAAAAAAATGTTCTTGAAAGAAACCTGAACATGAAACATGGCTGGATTTTTAACAAAGACAATGATTCCATGAACACACAGCAAAGAAGCCTCTCAGTTTCACAGGAAAAAATAAAGCTACAAAACAAACAAACAACAATCCAGTAAATTATCTGCTAAACTGGGCTAAAAAATATCTGGAAGTCACTAAATATCAAATTACACAGAAGATGCTTCCAGAACCTTCAAGATCTGAA